ATGGTCACAGCCAGAGAGTCGCCAGAGGATGGTCACAGCCGGAGAGTCGCCAGAGGATTGTCACAGCCAGAGAGTCGCCAGAGAATTGTCACAGCCGGAGAGTCGCCAGAGGATTGTCACAGCCAGAGATTCGCCAAAGGATAGTCACAGAGAGTCGTATGAGGATAGTTACAGAGAGTCGCCAGAGGACTGTCACAGCCGGAGAGTCGCCAGAGGATGGTCACAGCCAGAGAGTCGCTAGAGTATGGTCACAGAGAGTCATCAGAGGATTGTCACAGAGAGTCGCCAGAGGTTGGTCACAGCCAGAGATTCGCAAAAGGATAGTCACAGAGAGTCGCCAGAAGATGGTCACAGAGTCGCCAGAGGATAGTCACAGAGAGTCGCCAAAGGATAGTCACAGAGAGTCGCCAGAGGATAGTCACGGAGAGTCGCCAGAGGATAGTCACAAAGAGTCGCCACACGATAGTCACAGAGAGTCGCCAGAGGATAGTCACAGAGAGACGCCAGAGGATGATCACAACCAGAGAGTCGCCAGAGGATGGCCACAGAGAGACGTCAGAGGATTGTCACAGTCAGAGAGTTGCCAGAGGATTGTCACAGCCAGAGAGTTGCCAGAGGATGGTCACAGCCAGAGAGTCGCTAGAGGATGGTCACAGCCAGAGAGTCGCCAGAGGATGGTCACAGAGAGTCGCCAGAGGATGTTCACAGCCAGAGAGTCGCCAGAGGATTGTCACAGCCAGAGAGTCGCCAGAGGATGGTCACAGAGAGTCGCTAGAGGATGGTCACAGCCAGAGAGTCGCCAGAGGATGGTCACAGAGAGTCGCCAGAGGATGTTCACAGCCAGAGAGTCGCCAGAGGATTGTCACAGCGAGAGAGTCGCCAGAGGATGGTCACAGAGAGTCGCCATAGGATGGTCACAGCCAGAGAGTCGCCAGAGGATGGTCACAGAGAGTCGCCAGAGGATGGTCACAGCCAGAGAGTCGCCAGAGGATGGTCACAGAGAGTCACCAGAGGATGGTCACAGCCAGAGAGTCGCCAGAGGATGGTCACAGATAGTCGCCAGAGGATGGTCACAGCCGGAGAGTCGCCAGAGGATTGTCACAGCCATCAGTGAAATATGGTTTCGTCGCAATCGTGCTGGATATACTCGTTACATCGGGAATAGCAAGTGACCAGGTTTATTACATTTGCCTAAACCCAGAATTGATTTATTTAATCTAATCCTAAGAATAGCAAGTGACCAGGCTTATTACATTTGCCTAAACCCAGAATTGATTTATTTAATCTAATCCTAAGAATAGCAAGTGACCAGGTTTATTACATTTGCCTAAACCCAGAATTGATTTATTTAATCTAATCCTAAGAATAGCAAGCAAGTGATCAGGTTTATTACATTTGCCTAAACCCATAATTGATTTATTTAATCTAATCCTAAGAATAACAAGTGACCAGGTTTATTACATTTGCCTAAACCCAGAATTGATTTATTTAATCTAATCCTAAGAATAGCAAGTGACTAGGTTTATTACATTTGCCTAAACCCAGAATTGATTTATTTAATCTAATCCTAAGAATAGCAAGTGACTAGGTTTATTACATTTGCCTAAACCCAGAATTGATTTATTTAAAACAAGTCTAGCATATTCTGCTGCTCATTTATGGAACCATCTGAAAACTACAAAAAGTCCCTACTCATTTAACCGCAAACTCTTTCATTTCCTCATTATCAGTGATTACATGCCACCTTAAATGTAGTTAATAATCCACAATGCATTACTAGTTTTAATTAACTGCAGTGCGTATGATATGTTTGTATGCGGATATGTATGACATGCAGGCGTGTGTAGGTGTATTTGTGTATGCATGATTCTGTGTTTGCATGGGTAACTGTATACGTTTGTGTGTACGTATCTGCGTGTAGGCGTGTGTCAGTGAGTGTGTCTGTGTGTATGGTGTCTGGGTGCTTGTCTGTAGGTGTGCCTGTGAGCGTGTCTGTTTTTGTGTCTCTGTGTTGGCTCGTCCATCTGCGTGTTTTTATGTGCATATGTATGTGTGTTTGTAAGCGTGTCTGTGTGTGTCTCTGTCTGCGTGTCAGTGTGCGTGTCAGTCTGTGTTGTGTGTCTGTGAAAGGTGGAAGTTTGAAAGGGCCGAATGTAAGACAGGCCTGCGTGCCTAATTTGTAACCCTTTGAAAATAAAGTTCGTTCGTTCGTTCGTTCGTTCGTAGCAGACGTTTGGACATAGAGTTCAAGGCTGTATGATCTTCTATCCAGTTATGAAGACTAGAGAGAACTGTTAGGACCGTTTGACCGTGCAGAGTGGTAGTTGAGCATACATGAATTGTAATTTCCTTCAGGTGCCAACCTTGTACGTTACTGTGATGAAACGATGAAGAACTGTTCTGACTTTGTGCCGGGAATTATTGCGCGTGTGATCCTTTAGTTAAAAGAGAGCAACAGAGGGACTACTCGTGTATATTACATCGACAGCTCATCGTCGTCCTCGGTTCGTCCCTATTAAACAAGACTGACTACACTAGTAACTGACACATTGAGTGAATAATTACAGTTTCGTTGAGCAATTGTTGGTGTTCTCAATTGTGCTCGACCTAGAAAGGAATGGCCTCAACAAATCATAAACCCTATGCACTGAGGTAGTTGGTGGAATGGTATACACGTTGGTGTGATATCGCAATTTATTTCACAACAGATATATCCTTGCACTGTTCACTATTAGAGACAGACTCAAGCGCCGCAAGCAAAGTCATATCTTAGAGTAGCCACAGATAAGAAGCACTTCCTGTATGAATGAAGCCTTAGGTAGAGCAAATGGTCAAAAATTGAACAGAGGAAGGTCTTGATCTCGAAAGCTACACAGTTAGACACTTGTGCAGGCTTTATAATATTGAAGGAGGAAATGAATGGATCACAGTGTCTGAGCAACAATCAGATTTATGTATTTTTCTAATCCATTTGGGTGGTAAGCGCGGGAACCGGCCAGTAAGCGCCACAGAACCAGAAGTTCTCAAATGTTTCGCGCCGGATGATATGATTATTTATATCAAAGGCTCTATGCTAAAAGGCGGGCGACAGACACGGGGAATAATAAAGAAAGCGAATGGGCGTGGCTAAACGTAACAAAGCCTGGCATGTGATACCACAATAACTGGTCTGAGAACAGAAGTCGCTGCAGCTTTCCATTAGCTTGAAAACTAGCTGTACATACATGATGTCATTGTCTCCAAAATGCACGCTGAGATTAGTGGAGACATGCATGCTCCGTACAGAGTGACAATCATCGCTTCAGAGGTTCCGAGTAGTTAAGTTAGCGTCCTTCAAATATTCTATTCAGAATTTGTGTTCGGAAACGAACATGCTGATGGACTGGCTGGTTCTGCGCTACTTGATGGTCAATAAATGTTTAAGGGTCATCTGGATACGAGTTAACAAGTATGTAGTCAGTTTTACCCCGCCAGGACATCACACTGAGTGACAAACACCCGGTGACGGAATGTGCCACTCACCATTCGGATGAGGATCACCCGTGGAGTGATCCCAGAAACCCCTTCAACCTTTCGGTTATTTTAAGGCCCTGGCAAAAGCCAGTGTGGGGCTTCAAAATAATGAAAAATTGCATCCCAAATGGGGGACGACGAATGATTGAGCAATGCGGAGGCATAACTCATAACGGTCTGAGGAGAATGGTGCTGGGAGGGGTGAGCCGGGGATGCTAGGAGAATGGTGCTGGGAGGGGTGAGCCGGGGATGAAAGGAGAATGGTGCTGGAAGGGGTGAGCCGGGGATGCAAGGAGAATGGGGCTGGGAGGGGTGAGCCGGGGATGAAAGGAGAATGGTGCTGAGAGGGGTGAGCCGGGGATGCAAGGAGAATGGGGCTGGGAGGGGTGAGCCGGGGATGCAAGGAGAATAGTGCTGGGAGGGGTGAGCCGGGGATGAAAGGAAATGGTGCTGGAAGGGGTGAGCCGGGGATGAAAGGAGAATGGGGCTGGGAGGGGTAAGCCGGGGATGCAAGGAGAATGGTGCTGGGAGGGGTGAGCCGGGGATGAAAGGAGAATGGTGCTGTGAGGGGTGAGCCGGGGATGCAGCACTTATATATCGCAAGTACTGTGATGTTTATTCTGACTTCAACATTCAACGTGTATTTTTGGTCAATGAACATATCAAGCTTAGTGCACTCGTGCCTTGGCCTTGTTGATAATTTTTATGTCCTGTTTTATTTAATTCCAAAGTTGTGCAGTTTTGAGAGGGTGAGTAAACAGTTACCCCAGTATTGTGCCCTCAAGACGGCGAAGGGACATTGCATCCATCCGCCAAGCGTCACCCCTAATACGACTTGACTGCTTTTGTTATGGACTTTTCACCCCACGGCCATGCACATGTTCGGCATACTTTGAAATTTGATGTGCACTAATTAAACGGTCTACTACGACCCATTTATGAATGGAATTACAGTGAGGGGAAGGCAGGAGTTGAAAAGAGGGAAAGGGGGGGGGGGGTATAAACCCTTTTCTCACAAACTCAAGTTATACAAAATCTTAGGTTACTTCTAACCTTATTTTTATGATGAAACGCCCATTGCGCGCGCGCCTGTACATGTGAACACGCATGCATTCACACATATAATTACATTCACACACGCACACACAATTATACACGTACACTAACATACATACACTGATACATACATACACTAATATGTGCATTCATATATACATAAGCGTTTATCTTTATTTTGTCTACAGTACAGGACTAGACTGCATGCAATGGTCAGTGAATGAACATGCTACATTGCATAAGCCCCTAGGGTTTGGTCGCATTAGTCAACAAGAGCATATATTTAGGCTGAAGAATGAGGCAGAAAGTGTAACCTTACAGAGAGTAAAACGGAACGTACTGAAAGTCTCTGCTACAGACATCAGTTACTAAATAGTCCTCCAAATCCTTGCCAGCATTTCTTAAAATTTTTTTGGTTCTTTTATTGTTAGCTTTGTGGGAACTACAGCGTCTGCACGACTCGTTCAGAACTCACACCTACGCGCTCGTTGTGGATGCTCGCCGTCTGCGGAACGTCAGCTCGTCTCATGAGTTCCTGAGACATATGGACAGGTTCTCCGCCAGAAGCAGTGTCAAGAGAATAGTCTTAAACCTTGCCAACAGAGACACTTACCAAGCTGTACTGAATCAGGTACTTGTCCCTGTGTTTGTAGATCACAAAAGACATCTACATTAGACTGTATTGAATCAAATCTCATATTTGAAGTTCAGCAAAAGACACACACATTAGATTGTACTGAATCAAGCCTTGTATACATTAGATCGTATAGAATCAAGTCTTGTATTTGTAATTCAGCAAAAGACACATACATTAGATCGTATAAAATCAAGTCTTGTATTTGTAATTCAGCAGAAGACACACACATTAGGCTGTACTGAATCAGGTTTTGATTGTTTTAATTTCAGCGTGTCTATTTATTTAAAACTAAAATAATTTCTTCGTTTCTGCTTATTTAAAATTTCACAAATAGAACAATTTCTGTATTTCAGTTTGTCTAGATTTTCACAGATCGAATAATTTCCTCATTTCCGCTTGCTAAGGTTTTACAAATAAAATGAATTCTTTATTTCAGCTTGACGAAAGTTTCCAAAATGAAATAATTTCTTTATTTCAGCCTGTGTAAAGTTTTACTGACAGAATAATTTCTTCATTTCAGCCTGTGTAAAGTTTTACAAACGGACAAATCTCTTCATTTCAGCTTGACTGAAATTTCCCAAATGGAATATTTTCTTCATTTCAGCTTCTCTACTTAGTTTAAAAAATAGAAACAATTCAAATTAACTAGTTTTTCGAATGGAAACATTTCAACTTAACGGACATTTCCTAAATGGAATAATTTCTTCATTTAAGCTTGTCTTAAGTTTCACTGATGAAATAATTTCTTCATTTCAGCTCGTCGATGTGGGCATGAATCGCCACAACTACCACTACCTGTTGGCTGGACCTGTGAGTACTCACGTTTACCTCTAACATTTCGGAATTGTTTTTCTGTGTTAGTTTTACATTTGTGTCGAAATTAGGGGTTTCCTTCATAGTTCAGTAAAAGACACATACATTAGACTGTACTGAATCAGGTCCGTGATTATAATTCCCCCCCCCCCCCCCCCCCCCCCAAAAAAAAAAAAGCATACATTAGACTGTATTGAATCAAATCCTACATTTTAGTTCAGAAAAAATACACATACATTAGGCTGTATTTAATCAGGTCTTATGTTTGTAGTTCAGCAAAAGACACATGCATTAGATTGTACTGAATCAGGTCTTATGTTTGTAGTTCAGCAAATGACACATGCTTTAGATTGTACTGAATCAGGTCTTATGTTTGTAGTTCAGCAAATGACACATGCTTTAGATTGTACTGAATCAGGTCTTATGTTTTTAGTTCAGCAAAAGACACATACCATGCAGTATTAAATCAGATTTCATGTTTGCATTTCACAAAATACACCGACATTAGGCTTTACTGAATCAGGTCTTATGTTTGTAGTTCAACAAAAGACACATACGCTAGAGTTTACTGAATCACGTCCTTAGTTGGTAGTTCACAAATGACACATACATTAGACTGCATTAAATGAGATCTTATGATTGTAGTTTACAAAAGACATACATTAGGATGTATTGAATCAGGTCTTATATTTGTAGTTAAACAAAGGACACACACATTAGACTGAACTGACTCAAGTCCTATATTTGTAGTTCAGCAAAGGACTCTTAGATTAGGCTGTATTGAATCAGGTCCTATGTTTGTGTACTAGAAGCAATGCGAAATGGGATGTTGAACTAGAGGCAAGGGAGGAGATAACTATGAAGAGGATAATATGGAGATCTACTCCTTGAACTTATCTCGACTCCGAACCTACAAGAGCTTTGACAAATAATGTCACATGGCGAGTGAGAGCCAAAATCTAACCTCAAGCTACCTCAGTAACCACAACAACAACAGAATTTAGAAACAGATTTTGTTAGGCGGAAACAAGAAGTATGGTATTCTGGCCCCGACAGGGGTGTTTTGTATACAGTTTAGATGGTAGTAACAGTAAACTAGGCACAATAACTACAAGCAGTAATCCAAATCAAACAACTGGAACTATAATTATCAAATTCAACATCTATTTATTTCAATAAAACTACGTTCTCAACAAATAATAATGCATTGAGAATCCACAATGCGTTCGAACATAACCTAACAACAGATGGAAACCTATTTCTGTCTACACATCAGCCCACGTTGCGCTAAAACCCTAAACGCAACGGAACAATCAGAACTATATGTTACTTGTCAGAACAGCAGAGGCTTAAGAGAGTGAAGTGAACTTGGAAAAAGAAAACAAAAATGTCAAACTTTCTCCTCTTATAGCCGCCCTAAGGCCTGCTTTATCGAGGACGATTTCTTTGCTATCTGAATTAAGTTTGTTTCTTTGTGGCAATCGTGTTCGCCTAGGTTTGATTTCTTGCTGCTACAACATGTCTGCGCGGTCAGGCTTGGTAAGCAGTTTCCGGTTTCGGGAGTTGGTCTGAAAGGACAGCCATTTTTGCCTGGGGCGGCCTGGATAGGGTATGGGAGGGGTCTCCTTGTGGCTGGCTTCTGCTGTCAGGTCTGGTGGTGTCCGTGCTTCCTCCGTTTAGGGGGCTGGCTTTTCCGAAAAGATGGTGGCGTGGTTTTTAGGGCTTCTTAAGTGAAGTGACCGCTCCAGTCTCTTTTATCACTTTCTCACATCAAGTGTGCCAGGTTTTTGGTTCGCTTTAAACCTAATAAAATTTATATAACAGCTGCCCTGGGCCTGTTACATTTGTAGTTCAGCAAAAGATACATACTTTACGATGTATTCAGTCATGGTCATGATGTTTGTAGTTTAAAAAAAAAACACATAGTGTAGATCGTATTGAATCAGGTCTTTTGTTTGAAGTTATACAAAAGACATATACCCGACTGTATTGAATAAGATCTTATGTTTATAGTTTTAAAAAAAAGGCACACACATTAGGCTGTATTGAATTAGGTCTTATTTTTGTAGTTCAAACTTCCTTTAAATCTAATCTTACTTTTTTCTTCCTCCTTCTCCCCATTCTTCTTCTTCTTCTTCTGCTGCTGCTGCAGCGGCTGCGTCTGCTGCTGCTGCTACAGCTTCTTCTTTCTCTTTCCATTCTTATTCTTTTTCCTCCTCTTCTTCTTCTAGTTCATCTGCTTCTTCTTCTTCTTTGTTCTTATTTGTTCATCTTTCTTCTTTTCCTTTTTCTTCATCGTCTACTTCTTTTTCCTCTTTCCGTCCTTACTTTTCTTCCTTATGCGTGTCTGCCTTGCTGTCTGCTGGCTTTCCAACCTCATCCCTGCCTTTCACGGAATGTTTTTATTCTTCTCTTTCGTTCAGTGTTAAATGAGACTTGAATTATTTAAATAAAAAAACATTAAAGTATTTTTCAATTGTCCTTTCTAATCCGGGGAAATCAGAAATGTAATGTCGAATTTAATATTCAGACATCATTGTCTAGAAATGAGTGCCAAGGATAGTGATAGCCAGTTTATTGTTTAGACATCATTGTCTAGAAATGAATGCCAAGGATAGTGATAGCCAGTTTATTGTTTAGACATCATTGTCTAGAAATGAGTGCCAAGGATATTGATAGCCAGTTTATTGTTTAGACATCATTGTCTAGAAATGAGTGCCAAGGATAGTGATAGCCAGTTTATTGTTTAGACATCATTGTCTAGAAATGAATGCCAAGGATAGTGATAGCCAGTTTAATGTTCAGACATCACTGTCTAGAAATGAGTGCCAAGGATAGTGATAGCCAGTTTATTGTTTAGACATCATTGTCTAGAAATGAGTGCCAAGAATAGTGATAGCCAGTTTATTGTTCAGACATCATTGCCTAGAAATGAGTGCCAAGGACAGTGATAGCCAGTTTAATGTTCAGACATCATTGTCTAGAAATGAGTGCCAAGAATAGTGATAGCCAGTTTAATGTTCAAACATCATTGTCTAGAAATGAGTGCCAAGGATAGTGATAGCCAGTTTATTGTTTAGACATCATTGTCTAGAAATGAATGCCAAGTATAGTGATAGCCTGTTTAATGTTCAGACATCATTGTCTAGAAATGAGTGCCAAGGATAGTGATAGCCAGTTTAATGTTCAGACATCCTTGTCTAGAAATGAGTGCCAAGGATAGTGATAGCCAGTTTAATGTTCAGACATCATTGTCTAGAAATGAGTGCCAAGTATAGTGATAGCCAGTTTAATGTTCAGATATCATTGTCTAGAAATGAGTGCCAAGGATAGTGATAGCCAATTTCACTTCACGATAGCCCAGAAAAGATAGCTTCACATAACTGTGACAGAGAATTCCTCAAAATATGTTTAAAAAAAACATGAGACAAATTACCAAAGTAGATTACAATTGGGACACTGGGGAACGGTAAGTGAGAGTTAAGTGACATCACAAGTAGAGAAAGTGAAAATACACTGTGGCAGCTCACTAAAACGACAGCCACTTCCGAATGTGGGACAATCAGGCGTAAAAATAACGATTTCACTGAATTAAAGGCTCGATTTTAAAACGCCATTTTTTCCATGCAAGCTATGTCGCTAGTAAATGTTGCAAAAATATTCTCAGACCAATTTTACGTGAGTTGAGAACTGTTGGTGGCGTTTTCCTTCATTGCACCAGTCTAGGCAGGTTTGCAGAGCTCTTCCCTGTTATCCTCGACATATTATTGGTAAATGATTTTAAAGATGTGAGACCACTTAAAATAATGTTACTAACTGTGAACTCGCGTCTCGAATCCAGGAATATTCGTCCTAAAATTACCTTTTTACATCCACTCGGGGAATAAATATCCAATAGGTGGTGTTTTCTTGTTTATGTATGTGTGTGTGTGTGTGTGTGGGGGGGGGGGGGAACCATTGTCTGGGGTCGATCAGTCTGTTAAAAGTGGCTGTTATGTGCGTCAGTCTATGCTGCCCGACTATTCTGTTGTGTGTTTACATACGCCTGTTATGTGCGTCAGTCTATGCTGCCCGGCTATTCTGTTGTGTGCTTACACACGTCTGTTATGTGCGTCAGTCTATGCTGCCGAACTACTCTGTTGTGTGTTTACACACGTCTGTTATGTGCGTCAGTCTATGCTGCCGAACTACTCTGTTGTGTGCTTACACACGTCTGTTATGTGCGTCAGTCTATGCTGCCGAACTACTATGTTGTGTGCTTACACACGTCTGTTATGTGCGTCAGTCTATGCTGCCGAACTACTCTGTTGTTTGCTTACACACGTCTGTTATGTGCGTCAGTCTATGCTGCCAAACTACTCTGTTGTGGGCTTACACACGTCTGTTATGTGCGTCAGTCTATGCTGCAAAACTACTCTGTTGTGTGCTTACACACGTCTGTTATGTGCGTCAGTCTATGCTACCGAACTACTCTGTTGTGTGCTTACACACGTCTGTTATGTCCGTCAGTCTATTCCAAGCTACTCCTGTTTGTGCTCACACACGTCTCTCACGTGCGTCAGTCTATGTTCGGCTACTCTGTATCGTGCACACACACGCCTCTCACGTGTGTCAGTCTATGTTCGGCTACTCTGTATGGTGCTCACACACGTCTCTCACGTGCGTCAGTCTATGTTCGACTACTCTGTATGGTGCTCACACACGTCTCTCACGTGCGTCAGTCTATGTTCGACTACTCTGTATGGTGCTCACACACGTCTCTCACGTGCGTCAGTCTATGTTCGACTACTCTGTATGGTGCTCACACACGTCTCTCACGTGCGTCAGTCTATGTTCGACTACTCTGTATGGTGCTCACACACGTCTCTCACGTGCGTCAGTATATGTTCGACTACTCTGTATGGTGCGCACACACGTCTCTCACGTGCGTCAGTCTATGTTCGACTACTCTGTATGGTGCTCACACACGTCTCTCACGTACGTCAGTCTATGTTCGGCTACTCTGTATGGTGCTCACACACGTCTCTCACGTGCGTCAGTCTATGTTCGACTACTCTGTATGGTGCTCACACACGTCTCTCACGTGCGTCAGTCTATGTTCGGCTACTCTATATGGTGCT